TGGCCTCAGCGGCTTATGGGTGTGGTGAAAGGTCAGCATGGACTTAATAGCCACAGCCAAATGTAACATAAACTCACTGGCCTTTTTACACAAGTTCAACTTTCCATTTGGGGATTTGAAGTCCCTTCACAATTCAATGAGCGACAACTAAAAAAAGGCAGCCTGTAGAGTCCAGAAACTGTTGTGGAATTCAACTAAATGCATTCACTCAACACAAACACTGAGAGAGCATTGTTTATAATAGCAGCATACCTTCCAGGTGTTTCAGCAGAGCCCTGCAGCTGTTTCCATGAGCAGAAATGAGCACAGTCCTGCCTTGCTTTATCTCTGGCACCACAGTGCTGTCCCAGTATGGAAGCAGCCGGTCCAACACCTCCTTCAGGCTCTCTGCCCTGGGAAGGTTCTCCTTTGGCACGTCACAAGTGGTGTATCTGCGGTCATTGTAGATTTCCAGGAAGTAAGGGTGGGATTCCTCAATTGGAGGTGGAGTGATGTTGTAGCTTCTTCTCCATACCTTCACCTGTTCCTCTCCATGTTCTTTAGCCATCTCCGCCCGGTTCAGGCCAATGAGGGAACCATAGTGCCGCTCATTCAGTCTCCAGGACTTGATCACAGGAACCCACTCCTGACCCATAGCCTCCAGAACAAGCCATGCTGTCTGGATGGAGCGGCTGAGTAGGGAGGTGAATACTAAGTCGAACTTGTAGCCCTGTTCCTTCAGCAGCCTGCCACAGTCCTGGGCCTCCTTCAGCCCATCCTCGCTCAGCTTCTGGTCAACCCAGCTGCAGAACCGGTTCTCTTTGTTCCAGGCCCCCTCCCCATGCCTCAGCAGAAACAGTTTGTATTTGGACATCCGAAGCACCTCCAGCAGAAGCCTGCACATATTCAGTAAAACATTATCAAAACAGTTTTGCAGTTGGTGATAACACAAGTGAAAATATATGAATATAATACATCAAATCTCCAGCTAACCTCACATAAAGTCACAGGTCTGTGTATATGAAACCAGCAGAAGGTACTTTAGAGGCATTGCCAGCAAAAGGTTAGAGGTTGTCTTAAAAGGGTAACAGGCTAAAGGCAGATAGCTAACCTTACAGTAGCTATCCCTGGCTTTATTGAAAGGCTGTACACAAGATAATGATAAATAAATGAATGAATGATAACGTTAGCTCACTACTGTATGCACATATTGCATTGGATTCTGCAAAGCTTATTAGCAAGCCTGAAAGGATGGATGGACGTGTTGCTAATACAGTATTTCATGGTCGCTCAGTCCGCGTTAGGGACAAGACAAACATGTAAGGAACAAAACTACTTAATGTGACGTCTCGAACGATCATAATATTGTGAAAATGTAATCTTACCCTGTGTGGGCTTCAAATCCGTCCTAAAAGTGTCTCGTTCAGTTGTTGACAGTGTTTGGCCGGCCATGTACAGCATTTGTTCCAGTGGATGATTGATATTCCTCTCCTCCAATCAAAATGGCACAGATCAAAAATGGGTGGTACTTTTGTCAAATGCTATGCCCATATTAGGAGTGGCGGCAATAACGGCCAAGCACGTCGTTGAGGAAGGAGGGAAATAAGGGGGAGTGACCGTTAAACATGGGTGAATTGATGAGGTACTGTTTTGTTGATGTTTTGTTGTTTGGTTCGAAGTTAGGAGAGGATTTATGGTGTTTGTAAGAGAAAGGCAGTAGTTTAAATTAACTTTGTTTCAGCCAGAGCTTATACCCGCCTAAAATGATACAGGTGTGTGGACAAACATTGTAGACTTTTGTTTTACTTGTTTAACGACTATTTTGGGTAAATAGTCAAACTGCCACTGTTGTTCACTCAAACAAGAACCTTATACACCGTTCTGTTTCCTTGACAGTTACGCACTTGAGGCCATATTTTCCTATTATTTAAAGGCTACTAATATTCATTTTTCTCAGTGATTTGTTTGTGACTCTAAACAATGTACGGTGGCTGAGAAGTGCAATCGACAATTACAGAGTGTGAAACACTTTAACAAAGCTTGAGACAAATTAACATTTTATAAAACAAATTTACATTTTCTAAAACAAAATTACTTTAGCGAAACACTTTTACCAAAGAAAAAACTATTTAACATTAACAAAAACAAATTAACAAGATGCGAAACACTTTTACAAAGCGAGAACAAATTTACATTTTATAAAAACAAAATTACATTTTATAAAACAAATGTACAAGTGTCGAAACACATTTCCCGAAACACTTTAACATTTCCCGAAACACTTTAACATTTGCCGAAACACTTTAACAAACTAGAGAATCAAACCGGAAAGGGAATGCCCATCATACCAGAAGTGACGTGCAAGTGATTGACACAAACTTAAGTTTGTTTTGGCTGATAGACCGCCGGTACCTATGGACGGTACGAGTGTGTTTATGGTCGTTAAACATGTTTGTTTATGGTCGGTAAACATGTTTTGTCCGTTCTGTGGAAACCACCTGGGCCAAGTGACATGGTTTTGCTCATCACGATATTACAGGTTCGCCAAGTAGGAAGTGGAGCTGTGCCTTTTACACACAGCGTTTACCTTCATTCGACAGCTAAAGAGCGACTGCAGGCTGCTTCGTTTTAACCACGCACAACTCTATACACACACACACACACACACGCACACACACACACACACACACACACACACACACACACACACACACACCTATACACACACATCGAACTGCCCAATTATTACGCCTTATTATTATTCGTCTTATGAAGGAGATGTCCGGTCACCAGGGCGGGCGTGTGTGTGTGTGTGTGTGTGTGACACTCGCATTTATTTTCAGAAGATATTAAGATACTGTCGTCCGTAATGCGGTCAACTCAGCCGTCTCTCGCGTTTGCGCAATTAATCGTGCCTTTACGGTAATCGCCGAGAAGCGGCACTGACGCTAGTACAAGAATAAAATAATGCATGTTTTTTCTGCTTGATTTGCGATACAAATAATTTGTACCATAAGTTCTTAATAAAACTGACACTGTTTGACTCAGTCCTAGTTTGACTACCAACAATGAAATGAAGTACTTTTACTGTGTACCTTTTGGGTAATACTCTCTCAAAGTCCCCTCCTGAGAACAAAATCATGCCACTTCTGCTATATTTGATGAGAGATAAAATGATCTTTAGCCATAAGTTTTTAATAAAATAAAAATAAAAAGTTCTACATGAAATTGATGTTGGACTCAGTACTACTTGGACTAGCTACTAGCACAAGTACAATCAAGTATTTTTACTGTATACTTTTTGATTAATACTCGGTCAAACTCCTACAATAATTCCTGTATTGTATATAAACTATGAATTATTGTACTCAGGACAGGAGTTTAACCAAGTATTACTCAAAAAGTACAGAGTAAAAATACTTGATTATACTTGTGCTAGTAGTCTAACAAGTACTGAGTCCAACAGTATCAATTTCATGTAGAACTTATGGTAACAAATAATTTTATCCCTCCACAAATATAGCAAAATACATGAATGATTGTACTCAGGAGGGGAGTTTGACAGAGTATTACTCAAAAAGTACACAGTAAAAGTACTTCATTGTATTTTGGTAGTAGTCTAACAAGTACTGAGTCCAACAGTACCAATTTTATTAAGAACTTAGGGCTAAAAATCATTTTTATCGCAAATATAGCACAAAAACATGCATTATTTTACTCTTGTACTCAGTCAGTGCCGCTTCTCGGCCAATTACCGTAAAGGCGCTATTAATCGCGCACTCAAAAATGAAGAGCTGCTGATTTGACCAATCAAACGCGAGAGACGGCTGAGTTGACCGCAGTGTTCCCCTGCACTCCGACAGCACTGAGCACTACATCGAGATTAAACACATTTATTTCATTTGGGAACACACACATATACCTATGGAGTTGGCCAGATGTGTGTAAATTACTGTTCATGGTAATTTGAAAACAAATGCCGGTGTCGGACATTCACAAACACACCGAACACACACACACAGAGCGGAGCTGAGCAGAGCACAAACACACACGTCATGCGCCTTGTGGACCGGACATTTCCTTCATAAAACGAGTAATAGGGGGAATAATCGGGCAGTTCGATGTGTGTAGAGGTGTGTGTGTGTGTGTGTGTAGAGGTGTGTGTGTGTTTAAAACAAAGTAGCCTGCAGTTGATCTTTAGCTGTATAATGAAGGTAAACACATCGAAGGCTGTGTGTAAAAGGCACAGCTCCACTTCCTACTTGGCGAACCTGTAACTTTCTTGTGTGCACGAGAACGTATCTCGTGCGCACGAGAAAGTATATCGTGATGAGCAAAACCGTGTCACGTGGCCCAGGTGGTTTCCACAGAACGGACAAAACATGTTTAACGACCATAAACACACTCGTGCCGTCCATAGGTACCGGCGGTCTATCAGCCAAAACAAACTTAAGTTTGTCAATCACTTGCACGTCGCTTCTGGTATGATGGACATTCCCTTTCCGGTTTGATTCTCTAGTTTGTTAAAGTGTTTCGGCAAATGTTAAAGTGTTTCGACACTTGTTATTTTGTTTTTGTTAATGTTAAATTGTTTTTTCTTTGGTAAAAGTGTTTCGCTAATGTAATTTTGTTTTCGAAAATGTAAATTTGTTTTAGAAAATGTAAATTTGTCTCAAGCTTTGTTAAAGTGTTTCACACTTTGTAATTGTCGATTGCACTTCTCAGCCACCGTACAATGTCCCATAATACAGAATTGGGTTACAGGGATGAACTCCCATATAACAGCAGAAGTAGTTTCCCAACTGTATTTCTGATTAAATCTAATACGTTTTGTGTAAACCAGCACCTGTTATGTTAATAGGTCATTTAACCACATGGGAAAATTCTAAATCTAATTTGCTAAAATCATATACAGTTTACCATCAGACCCTTAAATGATTCATACAACTACAAGTGTGAGCATACTTAAACATATTGCCAGTTTAAGACAAAGATGACTTTTCTCATTAGAGCAATCTCATTTAGATTTTATTACTTGATATACAATTCACATGTCTTCTCTTCAATATGTCTTAGTTTAATGCCATATTCATTTCCCACGATGCTTACTTTATCTAACTCCATGAACCAAAAACTGCCCCCATCATTAAATTCAAGCAAATGTGTTTATGTTGTCATCTAAAGCCATGATTTAAAAGACACATATTATTTAGCAGACTATTTAGGCCTGTTTATTGTTGAATATAACAGAGGTCAATAAACAAGCCAGTCACATCACTACAGGAGAACTGAACAGCCAAAAGTTATGATATGTTCATGGCCTGTGCCAAAACCTACTTGTCAACCTGATCTTTAATGTACGTAATTCACTGTCGTTATAAAGTAAACGATAGTCACAGGGCTCCATCCATTTTAGAGCAGCAAACATTTTCATAAAGAAATTCGCCACAGAATCTACTGCCCGGCGTTAAACATCTTCTTCCTGCCGTCCATACCAGACATGGCGTCCACGTTCTTACGCCAGTCAGTCACCTCCTCTTTCTGTGGGGTGAAAAAATGATGATTTGAAAGTGATTAAAACATAAGTATTTGCAACCACATTGTACAACACAAATACACACACCGTGTTGGAGAATACATTTGCTTGTAAATATAAGAATAATAAATAAATTCCTGCACTAAACACTGCAACAGATTATTTACACATGCTTTAAAAACGTTGTCACTCTTTCTAATTCTGACCTTTTTTAAGCAAGTTTCACAACTCCATCTTTATATATATATATATATATATATTATATAATTGGTGTTAATTTGATTTTGATTTTTTATCAAATGTGTCGTTTCTAAAGTTAAAATAAAACCTACAGCCTGGACTACAATCGATGTGTAATGATGAAGTATTATTTCATAGCTTCCTTGCTAAAATAACAGAAAATAATATTTGTTATATAATATGTGATGTGTTTTAACAGGACAAAAAAACCGAGCCCTGACAGAGTGGACTATTCTCAGTGAAGAGAAAATATAACTTTATTAAGCCCTGAATAAATTAATTAGCCAGATATTGCTCAATAATGACAAAAACATAAGGATAAAAACACAAAAGTGTGAACTTAAAGTGTATAAGAAGTAACACTACCAGTGCATAACAGAATAACAGTACAAGTTAGATACATTAAGTAAGATAGAAACTAATCATTTTATAGTAATATTGACTATAATAATGAAACAGCAGCCCTTACCTTCTCCTCCTCTTTCTTCACAGTCTTCAGGGCGGCCTTGAAGTCCACGGACTCTTTGACCCTAGCGCCCAGCAGAGCCCCCAGCATGGCGTCAGCTGAGACCCTCACCCTCTTCAGGGCCGGCCTCTTCATCTTGCCCTTCAACTCAAAGATCTTCTGAGACAGGTCCTGTATCTTTTTCCCAAAACAAATGACAGACACACCCTCAAATATTGGGGACAAACAATATGTGTGTCTGATACGCTTGTGAAAAAGGATAGAACTCAAGCAGTAATTCACAAAGATGACTTACCTCAATACTACATTTCGACACTTTAGAATTAACGTCGTACCGCTCTTCATCAACCACATCAGTCTTCTGGTGCAGCTCTTTACAAAAATTCTGTTGATAGAAACTTATAAAGTATTACACTCATTTAAGTAACAATTCCCTGAATGTATAAGTACAACTTGCCCGTATGACTTGATAGCAACACTGATACAGTAACAATGCAAACACAAAGACAGGGCTGCATGTGTATGGGCAGGGATTTGTTCTAAGCATATCACAATAAAAACACATCGCAAAACACTTCTCCAGTACACCACACTTTATTTAGTTCTGCAATATGCAAATGCTCTCAAAATTATTTATAAAATATGCCATAATAATTTATATAAATTGTTGTAGAATGTTTATTTATACATTTATAATTTATCTGAGGACTTGGCTGTGGAAAGCTTTCATGGAAGTATTTTCTAATCGTCCCTTAAAGTGTTGAAGATTATTCTGAAAAAAAAACATTGTTCTTGGCAGGTGGCATTGCTGTTGAGGTTTTTTTAAATATAAGTTGAAATGCTTTGAGCTCCAAAAACGTAATAACATTCACCTTGATTGTAATTGGGCACCTGCTTGCGGGTAGATAACATTAGAAGGCGATGTGGAAAAAGCGATCTGCTCAAAGTGTTCAGACAGTAATTTACTGTTGACTTAGAACCAAAACCCCCCAAATATATGTAATTATATGGAGTGAAATGACTCAATGATAAATGTAGGCTACCTGTAGATCCTGCAGAGACAGGCCGGACAGCTGCAGTTGTGGGACTCTCTCAGAGAGGACTCTCTCTCGTTCCTCTTTCTTCATTTGTATGTCGTTTTCCAGCAAAGTCATGGCCTTCTTTAGCAGCTTGGTCTGGTGTACATACATGTAAAGAATTACACTTCAGTCAACCAGAGAATATGTTGAAGCCTTGCTTTCACACTATTTGCCATAAGTTACCTTCAAGAACAGTCTGCGAGATGCACTGATCTTTGGCTTTGGTTTCTGGAAAAAAAGACGTCATTCATATCAAATCTCTGGAAAACATTTCAATATAAAGCAGCACACAGTTTCTATGTACATGCAGGTTTTGCACATTAGTCTCTTTACAATTCAACAACCAACACAATGACACTTTGTGCAATTCTGACTACAGCCTGAGTTGAATTTGACTTTACCCTTCATATTTAAACGTTTCATTATATTGTATTTTTACAGTATTTCCTTATTATACAAGTGTTAAGTCAATCAATTCCACAAATAGTCAAGGTACATGACTTTTTCATAGTAAAATCAACTTACCGCACCCCTTATCCAATTAAGAAGGTGATGTATTTCAAGAAGAGAAAGAGAAAAGGTGCAGTTTGTTACACTCGTTGAACTTCTTTTAATATCATTTGAGTGATGGTGCGGTGAAAGTAAATAAGATATAGCTTACCCTTCAGACATGGTTGCAGTTGTATGTTTACCCTTGTTAATTTTATCTAGAGAAGAAAGGAATAAGACTATTTTACACACATGAAGCTCAACTAATGAACTTTAACAGAAGCAAAGCAACATTCAACACATTGGATTAAGACATCCTACTGTATAGGTTGCAGTTGTATAGGAGAGGACACAAACAATGTATGACATTGTCAAGAGGTCAAACTGACACCTTCAAAAATACTCTCTCAAACATTGCCAAAAATATAATTACCAGACAAATCATCAATCAAGACCATAATGGTTGGTGGTATAAGTGGCCTGATGCATGTTGTTTTTATTTAATATCTTATATCCCTGTATTGTAACAGCAAACACATTCTTAAATGTACAGCTCAATACCACAAAATGACAAAATAATAATCAATGTGACAAGGTTGCAATGACATACATAAATATAATAAATCCACACTGTGATTAGTTTTAAATTTAAACCAACTGATTTTTTTATCTAAGCAAAAAAGACTCTTGAGTGTAAGAGGAATTGTTTGTAAAGTGAGATAGTTTTAGAAAGAAAACAGTCAGTTGTAAGGAAGTATAGGTGGACAAACAAACAAGCTGTTTGAGTTGAAAAATTACACTTTCTTTTCTCATTTCTAATATGATTTTGTGTTGCAATAAAAAGCCTACGTTAGCTGTTCAATCCCTTCATGTTCTGTAATACTTCAAAACAAAACCTCTTACCTTAGCAGGAGACAGATACTCAAAGGCGTCTTTTTCTGAGAGGAGAAGCGCAGAAAGAGGGTAGATATATAGATTCCAGCGGCCATGTGAGTGGCTTACTAAAATAGACCCTCTGTCCGCACCATTCTTGCACTGCGTCCCTCACATCTCACATGTATGAGGTGTGAATCTTTCTTGGGAATGTCCTCCTGTGATGCTTTCTTAATGTCCCCGTCTCCTCGTTAAGGAAGACCGGGTGGTGGAGTTCAAAGGAGCCAGAGATAGGTTTGAGAAATTGAAGTTGTTCCGAAATACATTTAAATCGGTTACACAGATGAGAAAAACAATTGCAGGATTGATATATTTTTATTTATTGCTGGTTTCATGTTTGTATCAAGTACATCAACCAACATTAAGATCACATATGCCCACTCCAAAAACATGACACAGACTGCAATCATGCTGTTTAATCTTTAGCATTTAATAGGCAATACATTTTGAACGTCTGACAAGCTTGATCTACATGTATCTCAGCAGATAACAAACTAGCAGTTGTTTATTACAAACAATGTCTCTCCACAGTCAATATATTATCCTGAAGCTCTACAAGTGTCTGAGAGATGGTTTAAAGAGTTCTGCTGCCATCACATGGCCGCAGAGGAGAACTACAGTTCTACAGTTTCTACCTCAGGCCACCAAGCCTATAGTCTTAAGTGATATACTCATTCAATTATTTTACTTATATGCGTTTTTTTTTAATTCCCTTTATATCTTTTCACGCCATTCTTCTTAACTATTTATTCCCCCCTGTTCGATTTTTTACGTCAATCTGTCCTACTGGCGTGTTTTTATTGTTTGTCTGCACTTGGGACAGCGTTGTACTACAAATCTCGTTTTTTGTACAATGACAATAAAGGCTTTCTATTCTATATACTCTCCTCTATACTCTATTCTACAGGCCCAACTCTAATACAAAGCTGTAAGTGACTAAGAAATCAGTTTTACTATTCCCTAAATCCTCAACTTAAAATATGCTTTAGATAAACAGTTGCTCTCCTTTATAACTATAATATTAAAACGAGCAAGTCTATCCTGGTTTTAAGGGTAGTTGTCCAACTTTTAATTCCTCAATCAATATAATAAAGGTAAGACAGTCAGCAAAGTTAAGCAATTATTCAAACAAAAAGGGCTGTAATGATCCATCAATCCATTGAATGATCATGATCCAATATTGATACAGAATCTACTGCCCGGCGTTAAACATCTTCTTCCTGCCGTCCATACCAGACATGGCGTCCACGTTCTTACGCCAGTCAGTCACCTCCTCTTTCTGTGGGGTGAACAAATGATGATTTGAAAGTGATTGAAACATAAGTATTTGCAACCATATTGTACAACACAAATACACACACCGTGTTGGAGAATACATTTGCTTGTAAATATAAGAATAATAAATAAATTCCTGCACCAAACACTGCAACAGATTATTTACACATGCTTCTGTTGGAATGAAACACAGGCAAGAGGAAACAGATCATTTGAATCCAATGGGCTGTAACCTGAAGGTTTCCATGACCCTGAAGCAAAAGCCAGGCGTACCTTTTCCTCTTCCTTCTTGACCGTTTTGAGGCTGGCCTTGAAGTCGATGGTCTCCTTGTGTTTGGAGCCCAGCAGAACGCTCAGCATGGCTTCAGCTGAGATCTTCACTCTCCTCAGGGTCGGCTTCTTGAACTTACTCTGGATCTCAGTGATCTTCAGTTTCATGTTTTCAATCTGTTCAGGGGATCAATTCAGAAAAAGTCACGTGCTGATGCCATTCCACCACTGTGAGTCAAGAATGAACCCAAACTACTACAGTATTGATTCATTTACATGAAACCAAAGGGAAGTTATTTTCGACCTGATCACTTCTTCACATCCATATATGGATTTATAAACACTGAGAGTTATCAATATGTCTATTTGTTATTTATCCAAAATTGAGAGCTGGAAGCAGCCTTGAAATGTATTTAGACAAATCTCAAACCATCAAACAACTCTTGCAGACTTCCACCGGCGATACAGTTGAATAAGATTAAACAAGTTGTGGTCAAAAGCTTATACGTGGATCTTGAGTTTCTAGGGTCCTAAACTATTCAGATTTTGTTTGTATATGTTTGTTCAAATAATCAATTAATAACTCAGATCGCTCAATACCACATATTTGATAAAAAGCTAATCTTTCTGCAGATGATCTAACCCTTATTTATATACTGTATGTTGAATGCTAAGAGTGCATCAGGCTTTAAGCATTAGTTTCTGTTATGTCTCTGTGCTGCCACTCGGAGGCAGTGTCTATTCACTTAAAGGTGGGGTAGGTAATTCACTTCAGAAACACTTGTTATATTCCATGGAATACTCTTAACATCCCGATAGCAATGAATATATGAAATGCTTTGACAATAAATACATACAAATGTCATCTGTGGAAGCCGTGGCGCTGTAAAAGCACGACCAATCATTTTAGCCGGCCCGGCTAAAATAACTGGATGGCCTACCTGCCTGTCAGCCTTCCATCTGTGCACAAACTTATCTCGTGCCCTCATTGGCCATGTGCGCGTTTGTGTGTGTTGGAGGAGGGCAGGGTTCATACACTTTTTCACCAATGATTTTCAATGACTTCTCCATGACCTTTACCTAATTTTCCATGAGCAAACAAATTACTCTTTCTCAGCGATACCACTGAAAATGGTTTATTTTAACTTTTTAACTTACTAGCTTCTACAGGCTAAAGCAACTAAAATCTCTCACCAGCAAAATACCTCGTCAGTTAAATGCCATTTTACGTTTCATTACTATACGATACAGTATTTATAACTTATTATCATTATAGTATTACTATTTTGGCGATTAGATAAAATATAAATTATATTTGATGCAACATTTCCATGACTTTTCCAAAACGTTGGGAAAAATATTGTTTTCCATAACTTTTCCAGGGCCTGGAATTAGCATTTTGTATTTCCATGACTTTTCCAGGTTTTTAATGACCGTAAGAACCCTGGGAGGGGCTCTGTAAGGAAGTCTGAAGGAAGGGGCAGATTTTTTTTCAGCTGCGTAGTTTCAAATTCTAGCGCACTCGAGCTGGTTTCTCCATTCTTACCTACCCTACCTTTAAAGCTCTTTTATGGTGTGACCCTGTGTTCATAGTAGAGTTACTGGATGAATAAACTATACATACATGTCCACTTGTATCACTTTATCTTTCTATTTATTCTTGAGATGCTCACCTCTTTCTCATTTTTGGACACCTTGAGACTGATATCGTACCACTCCTCATCCACAACATCGATCTTGTGGTTCAAGTCTTTGCAAAAATCCTGTAAGAAAAGGAGAAACACACCCTCTAGTGGTGTCAGAATATCATGATAGACTTAAATGGAAAGAATTGGATAAGTGAGAGAGAGTGTTTGTGTTGGACGATGTGAATACAGGTAAATACCTGAAGCTCTTGCAGAGACAGACCAGACATGCTAAGAGGAGGAACTCTTTCTGTCAGAGCCGCTTCTTTCTCCTTCAGCTTCTGCTCCGTCTCGTCCTGCAGCATCTGAGCTGCCACTGTCAGCAGTCTGATCTACAGAACAAAACATCAACATAAGGAAATCACTTTTAGCTTTTATTGGGATCTCTTGACCGAGTAAAACAAAAGTCCTCAATATCCAACGTTTTTGTAACTTTATGTTAAAATTGACAACGAGTTAAGTACATTTAAAAAAAAAAAATAGGTTATATTACTATTGTTCTTAAAGGTAGGGTAGGTAAGTTTGAGAAACCGGCTCGAGATACACTTTTTGTTATATTCCATGGAATGCTCTTAACATCCCGATAGCAATGAATATCTTAAGTGCTTTGACAAAAAATCCATAAAAAATGTCATCTGTGGAAGCCGTAGTACTGTAAAAAGCACGACCAATCATTTTAGCCGGCCCCCGGCTACAATAACTGGATGGCCTACCTTTAAAGGTAGGGTAGGTAAGTTTGAGAAACCAGCTCGAGTGCGCTAGAATTTGAAAATACTAGGGCTGTCAAGTTAACGCGTTAATAACGCGTTAACGCAAAAAAAAATTAACGCCACTAATTATTTTAACGCGATTAACGCATGTGTATTTTTTGTCCTCGGCCGCCGTAGTTTCAGAGCGCATCGTGTGTAAAATACCATCGACAAGCTGATGCTGACAGCCCCGCTCCTGCCGCCCGCTTGTGGCAGACCACACTTCCACGCTCACTGGCAGGCCCGGACTGGCCATCGGGAGGACCGGGAGGGAGTGTGTATGTGTGGCGCGACTCGCGCGAGCGAGGCACACCTTACGTGTTGTTGTTGTTAGCATCTGGTGCTAGCTAGCTGCGCTAACGGATATAAGGAGCTGTTTCAATGACATTTCGCCGACAACTGCGCCGAGCACTTGACTTTATGCAGGTAGCCAGACAGTGTGACATTGTACGAAAAGTCAGCACACTCAGCACGGATAGTACGCGCAACATTATTGCAGCGTCCAGGCAGCTCCCATTCGAGCATATATGCCTTGAGCTGCACATAGCTCAACGATCCATCACAGTGTCTCCACACACACACACACACACACACACACACACACACACACACACACACACACACACCACACACACACACACACACACACACACACACACACACACACACACACACACACACACACACACACACACACACACACACACACACACACACAGTATTGTATGAGAGAGGTTCTAGGTTGAATTGAGGCGAATATTTGTAATGTTCAGAGGTTGTTGTGTTTAATATTCATGAGAATATTTGTCATTGTTCAAATGATAATAAACAAACATATAAAGCATATTTGTCCACTCATATGTTGATAAGAGTATTAAAAACTTGAAAGATATCCCTCTAAGGTACATTTAGAACAGATAAAAAATGTGCGATTAATTTGCGATTAATCGCGATTAACTATGGACAATCATGCGATTAATCGCGATTAAATATTTTAATCGACTGACAGCCCTAGAAAATACACAACCGGAGAAAATCTGCCACTTCCTTACAGAGCCCCTCCTCCAACACACACGAACGCGCACATGACCAATGAGGGCACGAGATAAGTTTGTGCACAGATGGAAGGCTGACAGGCAGGTAGGCCATCCAGTTATTTTAGCCGGGCCGGCTAAAATGATTGGTCGTACTTTTTACAGTACTACGGCTTCCACAGATGACATTTCTTTATGGATTTTTTGTCAAAGCACTTAAGATATTCATTGCTATCGGGATGTTAAGAGCATTCCATGGAATATAACAAAAAGTGTATCTCGAGCCGGTTTCTCAAACTTACCTACCCTACCTTTAAAGTGCATACAAAGTAATGCACTCCAATGTCTCAAGTCAATTTCATCATAATTAATAAAGCATCTAACATAAACTGTATATTACATCTCAAATAAAGACAAACGTACCTTCAACCCCAGCCTTCGAGAGGAGGAGATCTTTGATTTGTGTTTCTATAATTCAGACATAAGAAACACTCCATATAAATATACATACAGCAAATTGCATATGATCTTTTTTAAATTGCATTTATAGATAAATAGAAAAACAAAAAATAGGGATTGAAGGAAAGAGATTGCATACTCACTCTGTTGAAGCATTCACAAAGAGAGAGAAAAAGATGCCAACTTAGTTACATATCCAAACATAGTTTACATTATACGAAGGTTATAAATGAACACAATCAAATAAACCAGAAGCAATTATACTCACTCAGACATGATTGTCCCGCACTAGAATAGGGAAAAGAAAATAAGTATTTTTGCAGAACGTGAAAACGGTGACTTTGATAACATTAAACCATCATGCATTTAATGCTTACAGAGTGAAGTCAAAGCTTTTAAATTCAGCTGTTTTCTAAAGATTGATGATTGTTTTAACCTCCCTTGTCAAAGTGTGTCACCCACCCCAAACATTCACTGGCCCATTAAGCCTGCAAAGAGTTATTTACTGTTGCCCCAGCGCTGGTTTACGATTGTTGTGCTTTTTAAACTAAACTAAACTTAACCTACCAAAGTACTTCTGTCATAATTTACATTTAGCTTTCTAAGTAATAACCCAGAATAATATACTTCATTCAAATAAAGAGAATCACAAGGATGAAATGATTATTGTTCCAAATGTAAAAACATTAGGGTGGTCCTTAAAATTGAAAGTCGGAAAGTCTAAGCTCCAACCTCCAGAATTCATTCTATTAGTCAAGAAAACTCTCCTGGTGAATGTTTTCCTCATTCTGACAACATGTACCCCCCCCCCCCCTCATCGACCTGGGCTGCCACACCAGCAGCCACGGTGCTGCAACTGAGGCTAAACTTCAAGGTTGATGAGGGAGGGGTAAATGTTGTCAGATTAAGGAACAAATTCACCAGGAGAGTTGTCTTGACTAATAGAATGAATTCTGGGGGTTGGAGCTTAGACTTTCCGACTTTCAATTTTAAGGACCACCCTACGTGAGGCTAAACTTCAAGGTTGATGAGGGAGGGGTAAATGTTGTTGGAATTTGAATAAAATTCACCAGGAGAGTTTTCTTGACTATCATAACAAATGTCGCTGGTTGGAGCTTAAAATAAATGAATTCGAAAATGTACATGGCACTACGGACCACCCTAAAAAACATGTTACAACTAAATGTAATTATAAGTCCAGTGCAGATTTAGTATGCATCGGTTTAGGATACATCTTCCAAAAATGTAAAAGCATTTGTGTCACATTCACAAGTGTGTGCCGGGTCAGTAGACGTGCATAACTCACAAGAGTCTCTGCATAGGTGGCAAAAAAGGTGAATGTCCAGATAATCCACAGGCGTGCAAACTGACAATGTTATAATTGACATTAATACAGAATTCCAATAATACAACAAAGTCAAGTCAAGCAATAATCTGAATAAAAGATTTTCCTTATTACAAGTTAATTGTTTTAACTCGCAGCATGCTGAGAAATTACTCCCAATTCCCAGATTATGTCCACATGCCTACCAAGTTTATTCTAAAACATACAAGCAACTCTGTACCTTAGTGAAGCTGAAACAACTCCTTAGGCCTCCACACTGAAGAAAAGTGTGTGTGAGGGAGGCAGCAATGGACTCCTAGACTACCAGAAATCAGATTTATAGTGTCATTGCCTAGTGTGAATGGCCCACAAAAATAGACTCCTCTCTGTCCACCAACAGTGGTATTTAGTGTCGCACATAGCATCCCCACAATATCACACAGGAAAGGAGGTGATAAAACTCAAACACTTGAGTATCCTGTGTAAATTAAAAACACCTGTTGAGGGAAGTGACAGTGAGAATTTAAAGAGACATTACCCGCGGACCCTCTGAGTGCATGCTGGGTCAGCGTCACCCATTCACATTTGACCGGGGCTAGTTTTTGGACATTTGGATAACATTGTTAAGGAGTCAAACAGAAGGAAGAAATCAGCGTAGAGTTTCAGCATTAAGTGGTTGTGATAATTTATTAATAGAACAAACAGCTCTGTCCAAGTGTGATCTTGACCGCCTCAAGATGTCCATCTATAGGCATCCTAACTGAGACTGTTTTAAAGACCATATCACATATCTGTTTTTCAAGCGGCCGAAATCATAACTATGATATTGCTTTGTTCATTTCCAATTTGCAACTGAATCAACAAAATGGAGATCTAAATATTGCAAATGAATGAGATACTGTTACTTGTCCCCTTGCACCAATTGAAATGGAGCTATTTTCTTACTTTGACCACAGCATCCAATAAGTAAGTTTAAGTAAGTAACTGCGGTATTTAAAAAAAACACGAACGATATATTGTAAATAATACAGCCATAATAAATCTGTGCCTCTTTATCTTAGTGTAATTTTAGTTTTTGTCCAGTTATGGTTACACTTGTATTTTAAATGTAAATTATACTGTAAGCCAAAAAAGAGACAAAACAAACAATAAACTAAGTTGACTTTGACTGATAGCATTATTTTTCAATAGATATCTCGTTGATAATCCTGCAGATAAAACAGATATTGTGACAGCGTTTCTGATAACACATTAAAGGACCACCTTGGAGGTAAAAACAAAGCCAAAAATCAGTCATGTTTTATTTAGTCGAGCAGAGGAACACAGACAGGTGCTGGTCAGGACTTGATGGTTTGTAAACTGAGCTGCCCATGGTTCAATCTGCGTCATTGTTGGAACAGGGAGTCACATGGTTCAAAGGGCTGCAACTTATGCCCTCACGTAAGGACATATTGGCACAGAACGATTAAACAAAAATAGTTCTAACCTGGGGTCAAATACTATTCTAAAATAAAACCTTGAAGTACTTGAGTTTTCAAGTCATTTAATATTGCACCTCCGCACAAAGGGAAAATTAGATGAAGAATGGTCAGGTCTGATGGGTCAAAGCCTACATTTCCCATAATGCATCAATCAGCATCCACTAGTTTATGCTGCATTCACACAATACCCGCAAAATCTCCTGTCCTTCTAACTTAAGTTGTAATGCTTTATGACCTTCACTGCTAGCCCATTAAAAATACTGCCTTTTATTTAGAGACATTTGCAGGCCATTTTGTTTTTATGCAAACAATGACCAATTGGTGAAACAAATGTCAGAGTTTGTCTACAGAGAGTTTATTGTTATAACTATAAAGTATTTCAACAAATTATCTATAGTTTTCCAGAAATAATGGTCATGATTCTAACATTTGATCCATTGTGCCTAAGTTAACTTTATTTCGTTTTTTCAAGTAATTTACGTTTATTTGTGAAAGAGTGAGAAAATGTAATGTTTGAACAATGCAGTGACAAACAGTGACTTAATGGCTTGAAATTGCATGTGATGTGAGTCCCAAATCCGAAGATAGGTGCTTGGTAGTTGTCAACAGTAGCAGCTGAGAACAAAGTTGTTAAACCATCTTTGTAAATCAAAGCAGCCGTAACATTTGCATTTTGAAACTGTAAACGTCTAAAATAAAAGAGGTCGCAGGTTCAGGGCCGCAATAAACTCCTCAGTAGAGTAAACACGGAGCAGCTAAAGTTCAGTTCACTGCACCGAGCAACACGACTGCTAAAAATAATGATTAAAACTGAAACAATAAGTTGACCCTTTCAATGAAATCATCGTCTAAAAGTTTAAAAAATGTTCAGCAAAGAACACAAAAGAATCAGTTCCAGATTTTTTCTTTTTCTTTGTCCAATCAATCAATTGGATAATAAAGCAGATATTTAAAAGTTAAAGTCAGGCACCAGTTTTCTTTGTTGATCAGAAGCATTTAGTTTTAGCACATAAACTGGTATTTTTCATTTCAACTACATGATGACAGAATGCTACTAACTTATCTCCAAAATATACAACTTCCTGTAGTCTATGCTGTACACACACACTTCCTCTGAAGCCTATACTGCACACACACTCAAACATACACTGTTGACCTATGTTAAGTAGTAAATAACCTAATATCCTAAACTGTGCATCTTTTTAAAATCTAAATATACTGTCCAGCGTCAAACAGCTTCTTCCTGCCCTCCATACCAGACATGGCCTCCACGTTCTTACGCCAGTCAGTGACCTCCTCTTTCTGTTCATAAGAAGAAAATATGTCTCAGTGAAGCTGTGCTCTTTAAGAATAGCCCCAATAAATTAAGAAATACCAAAGCATTGTGTTATAATTCAAACCTAATCTAAACCTAGGAGTCAACCCAGCCTTGAAACAATCGGATGTTTAAGATTCCACACTTACCTTCTCCTCCTCTTTCTTCACGGTCTTCAGGTTGGCCTTAAAGTCCACGGACTCTTTGACCTTAGCGCCCAGCAGAGCTCCAAGCAGAGCTCCCAGCAGAGCGCCCAGCATGGCGTCAGCTGAGACCTTCACCCTCTTGAGAGCAGGTCGCTTCATGTCACCCTTCAGCTCAATAATGTTCATGGAAAGATGTTCAACCTGCAATAAACAATGACAAATGTAAGTGAAAGGTACACAAAAATGAACACCTTCAAAAATCCAATCAGTCCCAATGAAAATACATTCATCAATAGATCATAATAATATCTAAATATCTAATAATAATAAATGCTGCAGCTTGTTCATTTGTAAGAACGGTTTCATTTGTTAACACATCCATGAAGCAAGGATTAAATCAACATGTAAGTCCAATGAAAATAATAAATATGTACCTCCTTAGTATTTTTGACCACTTTGGCATCAACGTCATAACTCTCTTCATCTACCACGTCAATCTCTTGGTGCAGATCTTTGCACAGAGCCTGCAGACAGAGAGAGAATCAGATTGTGTGTGTTGAACCTTTAATGACGAGCATTCAATGGCTTTGCATGTTGCGCAGTTGCAAATGTCAAAGTTTAAAACTGTGTTGATGCAACACAAAGTCATTTATGAAACATCAAACCAAGAGTATGGTGTCTTTTATTACTAGTGTGGTGATTGTTACAGTCATGGTTGTATTTAAAATGTATCCATTCCTTGTCTTAGATCATATGTATTCTATTAATATGATTTATTAAATGTTTCTCTAAAAAAAGAATGTCAGCTACATGCAGACAATGTAAAATGTAGACAGTGAGGCACCTCTCTTCTAATGCGCGTACTGCATATGAACATACTGTATGCATGTTACCTATAAACATCAGAGCAATGCATGCATATGGAACAATTCCCTGATGTGGACTCACTGTAGAATGATTGACCGGCAGTGACCTTCACATACCAGAAGGTCCTGGACGGACAAACCCGACAGCTGGAGTGGAGGGACTCTCTCAGCCAGAGTGGCTTCCCTCGCCTGCTTCTTTTCCTCCTTCTTCTTCTCCAACATCTCAGCTGCCATTTTCAGCAGCTTGGTCTAAATTGGATAAAATAAATCAGGTTGATTAACTATATGGCATGGATCAGACTTATATAGATGTTATCATAAAGACATAATACCTTGAGAGCCAGTCTGTGAGATGCAGAGATCTTTGATTTTTTCTGCTACAAAAAATTAAGCAGAAAATATTTATGTAACAATTAGCAGTTATGTACACAATGTAATGTATGTAAGTGTATATTTGTTTTTTCATAAGATACAATCATTATATAGATAACTTACCTGTCTGTGGTAGACATTATGATGTTGGAAGGAAAAGAAACGAGAGATAGCATCATAACATTGTAAACAATTACTTGAATTTTACAAATACAAATACAAATACAAACAGTACATAGTAAAGAAAGCATAACTTACATGATTGCTGTTTGTCTGAAAGAATGAAAGAATTCAAAGTCAGAAACATTAAATGCAAGGACAGTATCGGTTGCAGTATATTACTACATACATGCTGTTAAGCAGTAACGCTGTAATAATTATTATTTTGTGATTCATGCACCAGAATCTGATACTTAATAGAAAACAGACTGTTTATTCACATCTGGTTGACTGGGCCGACTCATCCAGACCTCGGTTTGTCAACATACCAACATTAAGCCCTTCAATTAGTAACGCTGCATGTGTAAATGCTGCAAACAAATGTAATCCCAGAGTTGATCCATTGTTCAAGGCAGCAAGAACCAACCTTAGCTTTTGCAAAATAAAACAAAAAAAAGTACTAAAATATAGGTGGATTAATTTCCCTAATGCATCTTTAAGTAAGTAAGTAATATTATAGTGTTGTGTTGGTCTCTTAAAGATCAAACTGTATCAAATATTTTACAGTAAACCAGCATGTATTTTCACCAATTGGCTTAATACAGTTCCTGCTGTTCTTTAAATCATTCAAAAATAAATGCAACAGTCTTACTTATTCTTAAGCCACATTTTTGTCATTATAAAAATGAACATACCTTTGTATCTCTGCAGAAAACCTGTTGAGGTAAAAAGTGGCTGTCTTTAAGTGACAAGACTTTTCCTCAAGAGAAAAACTTGCGCCAAATGTAATGGTTGAGTGGTCAACTAAAATAGCCTCCTCTGACCTGACATACTGTATATCACTTCACCTCTACATGGCATCCCCCCCCCACACCAGGTTAACCACCCATTTTGTATACTCCCATTACTCAACACCAAGAGTAGAGGCTTTAAGGACAGCCAGTGAAAAACATCCATGAACACATCATCATCAAAACTGGAAAATCTAACAAACCAAAGAAAAACCAAGCATTAAAGTCTTTATGGTCTTTTAATAAGCATCACATGTTTTACAGACCAGTGGCAGCGCCTTCATCTGTATAATACAAATACTTCACTTCAAATGACAAACTCACAAAGCTACTCTGCATTTTCTTTAACACAATTTCAATGCAAAGGGTACGCTATTCATACAATGTTTATGATTACACCATAAAGTGGTATTTTGTACATACATGTTTACATTAAATCAAGAAAAAACAATTTATTTCAACGTCATTATACACTCTTTCTTTAAGTCCGCATCTCTGCAGACTTTCCAGACGGAGGTGCCCATAGACTTGGCTTGTTTCTCTAATGGTGATGAGTTGTTGCAAGCGTGTCACGATGGTGTCTTGTTCATCCTTTTTATACCATTATGAGTCCTCATGAACTCACACACTCAAGCATTACAGCTGCACACACAGGTGATGCCAATTAAGCCAGTGAGGGTTTAGTGCTTAGGCCTTAGGGTGTATGTTGGGATTGGGCCGATGTATTACTAACAGCACTGTCTATTGTCCTGCGTTAAACATCTTCTTCCTGCCGTCCATACCAGACATGGCCTCCACGTTCTTACGCCAATCAGTCACTTCTTCCTTCTGCAAAGATACAAAAAAAAGTTATTTAAATGTACTTTTAAAGGTGGGGTAGGTAAGTTTGAGAAACCGGCTCAAGATCGCTAGAATTTGAAAATACACAACCGGAGAAAATCTGCCACTTCCTTACAGAGCCCCTCCTCCAACACACACGAACGCGCACATGACCAATGAGGGCACGAGATAAGTTTGTGCACAGATGGAAGGCTGACAGGCAGGTAGGCCATCCAGTTATTTTAGCCGGGCCGGCTAAAATGATTGGTCGTACTTTTTACAGTATTACGGCTTCCACAGATGACATTTCTTTATGGATTTTTTGTCAAATCACTTAAGATATTCATTGTTATCGAGATGTTAAGAGCATTCCATGGAATATAACAAAAAGTGTATCTCGAGCCGGTTTCTCAAACTTACCTACCCCACCTTTAAATATAGTTTATTTTTCTTGATGGATGATTGTTTCCAACCAAACGTTACCTTTTCTTCCTCCTTCTTCACTGTCTTGAGTTTGGCCTTGAAATCAGGCTTTATGAGTTTGGAGGGGTCGTTGTCGTCCGTGGTTTTCTTCACCCTCTTCAAGTTAGGCCTCTTCGTCCCCTTCAGCCCAAAGATCTTCTCCTTCAGTGACTGGACCTGTGCAACAAACACACCCTTCAACATCCTTATAGGTCAGTAAATATACAAATGAATTTGTGATGTACCTTAAAAACTTCCACTGTACCTCTGTTTCATTTTTGACTACCTTAACTTCTGTATCATAACGAACTTCATCTACAACATCAATCTTACGATGTAGTTCTTTGCAAAGATCCTGCAAAGAGAAAAAGAAAACATGTCAAACTGATTGAGTTATAATTGTTGTTGTTTCCTTGTCTTAAGGTCAATCGTTTTTGTTTGCTAACAAGTGGCTCAAAGAGAAAGAGGTTGTAGAGGACATGAAAGTCATTACGCTGAACAAGAGGAAACTCATTACTCAGCCGTGGTGATGTTGAAGTCATGCCAACGTGTAGTTAGTTTATCTATTTACATCTGGCGATTGTATTTAGGCCTCAAAATCTATTTTAATCGGTCCATTTGTGACGAACACGGCTTAGTATAATAACATTTTGTTTGCCAAAGATCAACATTTCTGCAACATGCAATTTGCTTTTTGTGAAGGCAACCGTTAATTCTTAGGTTGGCTTACAACAGGGGTGTCCAAACTTTTTTTACCGTGAGCCACATACAGAAAAATATACGAAGGGCTGGGCCACTCACTAGAGGTATACATAATTTCAGTTATAAGTTAGCAAAATCAATCAAATGTAGGTAAATGATGCTTGTGAGTGTTGGCAGCTCATCCCTTAAAGCAGAAGCCTCAGATTGATTATAATAAGGAGAAATAGAAAGGGTGTATTTCAAGCTTGTTATGTAAATAAGTCATTGGGCTTTTTTCTTATCAACTAAGATATGTTAGAAAATGTTTCCAACTTTTATTGACAGAATTGATTTGAAAAGTGTTCTTATTAACACATGAATACTACTGTGTAATGTATTTTTACATTTATATTTAATAAGTACAACATAAGACAAGCACAAGTTTCATTTGTGGGCCATATTCCATTATACTTTTTGAATTTGCTGAGGGCCGATTCAAAATGGTCCGCGGGCCACATTTGGCCACCGGGCCGTAGTTTGGACACCCCTGGCTTACAAAAACATGTCATCCTTGCAGTACTCTGAAATGCCTGAATCAGCATGGTTTTCTGTGTCAGTACCTGGAGCTCCTGGACTGACAGACCTGGCAGGTTCAGGGGAGGGAAACAATCTTTCACAACTCGCTCCTTCTCTTGTTTCTTCTGTTCAATTTCAGCCACCAGCATAGACGCTGCTTTCTTCAGCAGTTTAGACTGTAATACAGGGAGGCGTTACTATGTCTGCATACAAACATTAAAGCAGTCTAGGAGCATATTATGGCATTTTTAGTGTATGGTATGTTAGTGGTCTAAAAGGTCTGCAGGACCTACCTTCAAAAGCAGTCTGCGTGTTGCTGAATACTTTGTCTTTTTCTGTGAAGAAGAAAATAATGCTTTACATGTCATATAAAGCAATTAATACAGTTTCAAATGTTACATTTTAAAGCACAAAATACATGATTAATTAATGCATGTTTAGGAAAACATTTTTGGACTCACCGGTCTTCATCAAGATGTGACAAGACAAGTAAACAAAAGAAATAGAGAGTTGTTTTTATTTATTATACAAATAGTGTAGAGAATTGTGGCTCTCTTTTAGAGGTCAATACTTACCCTTCAGACATATCTGCAGTTTACGGTATCCTTTGGAGCAAAAACAAAGTTTGTTTACTCTTTTGAAATGCATTGCATGCATTTTCAACACTTCTTTAGATCGTTTTACAGACTAGACTTATTATTAATACATTTAATGAGTATTTGTTAAAGTCTTACTCATGTTTTCTACAGTAAATGTGATTAATCCAACTCCTGTAGTTCACAGTTCAATAGAATGAAGTGGTCTCATTGACCTCAGTGGCTCTCAGAATCATTTTAATTTTTTTTCCAAGATCAGATAATCCTTCCCATTGTTATAAGAGCTGACAAGGAGCCAGTCGCTATATTTAGCCACATTGCCACCATACTTTTCTGTCCCCCAGCAGCTGCCTTGTCCTTTATGGTGCCAGAGAAAAAGTTTGGCAGGCAAGAGACCAACTTTAATTAAATCTCTCAAAGACTGTGAGAGTTATGAAAAACAATTCTCAATCCACAACACTACTTCATTTTTATTCTGCTGCATGTTAAATGCACATGTCTTTTGTTCGAGCAGACATTTTCAGATTAGGGCTGAAGTGAAAATGAGCTGTCAACAAACCCTATCTCCTCTGTCTCTCTCACTTTCTCTGACCTTCTCATTCTAGCGTTAGCTTTACAACCACATACCTAAAATGCAATGTAACCATGCCATTATATATTAGCAAAAGTAGGTGTTAGAGACTGATGAAAGCCTGTCAATGCCTCTGATACAACACAGTAATATTACCAATTTAAATTAATCCAGCCTGACAGGGGGCTAAATTCAAGGTAAAGTATCCCAGCCTGCAGCCTTGCCCCTCAACCGAGGAGGTTGCCAGTTCATATGAGCGAGCCATCATCACTTATCACAGCAGCTTTTAGGACAAACGACGGGTCAGGCCTGCTGTTACCAGCCGACAATACCTTTTCAGGCAGTTCAAGCCTCGGGTTACATTTCTTCACTTACAGGATCAAGATATCATCAAGACGTATTTAAGACCTTGACAAAAGTGGCAACATAGCAGAGATGCACTCACATAAATACCAGTCCCAGTAAATGTGTCAGTGCATGCTGTAATGCAGTCTTCGTCATTAAAGCCTTTGATAGCTTCTCTCACATCAAGAAGTGAAATAGCAATGCTACGTTAAACAGTCTCCTTCAATGTCTAATCTGATTGACTTTGAGTTTATTGTGAGATATACCATAGGTTGATTATATGAAACCTACCTTGAAAAGTGAGAGGAAATCAGAGCAGGCAGCAGCAGTTGTAAGTCTGGAAAATAAAAAGCACTTGACGATTATTAGTGAAAGATTTATGTATTCAAAGTCTCACGTGAATGGCTCGCTAAAATAGACCCCCTGTCCACCTGACAATTTCTGCATCACAGTGCAACCCCTTTTTGATTTGCCCTCTACCCATGACCCATTTATCCCATGTGATTGCATTGCACAACGGCCCACCTCACACGCTCCTCACCTCACTGACAGCTGACTTATCGACTCTGCGGATATCTGGCGCCCTGACCTTGTTTGCTTTCTCACTATGTGTCATGGGGTGGACAGGCCAAGGTTTTAAAGGTGCCTTCTAAAGTTAGTTTAAAAAATGAAAGTATTGGAGCAATTAAAAATACATTTTTTCTTATTATTGACCTGACAAACAAAAACAAAAACAGTCTGTAATGTAGTTGTAAGCAAATACAAAGTAAGAATGACATGATTTTTTGTTATACATTTGTCAACCATTTCAACTCACATTGTATTGTATTTGACATTAGTAAAAATGGTCATTGGGGGGATTTCTAAACCATTAACGTACATCTGTAACCTGTCATTCCAAACCGGTACTTGTCCAAACAAAATGAAAATAGCTAAAGTCATACCTGTATACAAAACTGGGAACAAGCACCACTTCACAAACTACAGACCTATCTCTTCACTTCCCCAATTTTCAAAAATACTAGAAAAAGTATTCAACAACAGACTGGACGCATTCATAGAAAAGCACAAATTAATCACGGACAGTCAATACGGATTCAGATCAAACAGATCAACATCACTGGCAATTATGGAATCAATTGAGGATATCACAGATGCCCTTGAACACAACAAATATGCAGTCGGGATTTTTATAGATGTTAAAAAAGCTTTTGACACAATCAACCATGACATCCTAGTATATAAATTAGAAAGGTATGGTATCAGGGGTATAGTTTTAGACTGGATTAAAAGCTATTTAAGCAATAGACAGCAGTATGTGAAGTTGGGAAATGACTGTTCTTCATGTTTGGACATTGCTTGTGGTGTCCCCCAGGGGTCAGTGTTGGGTCCTAAATTGTTTATACTGTACATCAATGACATCTGTAGAGTATCCAATGTACTGAGGCTAGTTGTGTTTGCTGATGATACAAATATATTCTGTTCTGGGGAGAATTTAGAACAGCTAGTGGAGAACATAGAAAATGAAATGCATAAATTAAAAACATGGTTTGACAAAAATAAACTATCATTAAACTTGAGTAAAACAAAAATGAATGCTGTTCGGTAAACATAGAACAAAAACACAAATGCAAATAAAAATAGATGGGATTGAAATTGAAAGAGTCCATGAAATTAAATTTCTTGGGGTAATAATTGATGACACAATAAGTTGGAAATTACACATAAAACATATACAATCAAATCTGTCAAGAAGCATTTCCATACTAAACAAAGTTCTAGATCAGATTTCACTTCGCATTCTCTACTGTTCACTAGTCTTACCATATCTGACTTACTGTGCTGAAATCTGGGGCAATAACTACAAAAGTTATATACATGCAGTATCTATTCTACAAAAAAAAGCCATACGAATCATTCACAATGCCAAATATCTTGATCACACTAACGAATTATTCCTGCAGTCAAAATTGTTAAAATGTACAGACCTGGTAGAATTCCAAACGGCACAAATCATGTTTAAGGCAAATAATAACGTTTTACCAGGAAACATCCAAAAAGTATTCACTCAATTCGAAATTCATAGGGTCCGTACAACCAGAAGAACTTTTTGTATCTCAGCCTGTGGAGTGAGACTATGGAACAGTGTGAATGTGGAGCTAAAGCGATGTCCAGACATTAACCAGGTCAAGAGGAAATACAGAGAAATTATTTTCTCGAGGTACAGGGATGGGGAAGGTATTTGACTATGTGTATGTGTCTATGTGTATATGTGTGAGTATGTAGGGGTGTATATGTATATGTGCATATATGTATATATGTGTATGTGTATGTATGTGTGTATGTATATATGTCAATCAACAGGTAAAGCAGATTAATAATAATAATAATAACAATAATAATTAATAATAATGATAATTATTGCAGATTATAGATTATAAATAAATCATTTAGGGACAAGGGAGATTAAATAAATGATGCTTCTTCTCACTCCTTTTCGAACACTAGATGTGGGACTGTTTATGTTGCTAATGCTGTTGTTGTTGTTGTTGTTGTAAATGTAATTTTTTGATTTCTCTTACATGACTATGCACTGCAACATTTGTTTTGTTTTGTAATTATTTATTTTACTGGTTCGAAATAAAATGTATCAATCAATCAATCAAAATGTAATATCCGAGAATTAAAAAAAGTGGCCAACAATATTTTAGCTGACCAATGTCAGAAAGTATCAAAGTTTAAGTGCATTTATCAATCTAAAGATCCAATTCACAAGGTAAACTTAACATACTGTACCTCTTACGTTTGCTTCTTAATTCTGATGGCCTCAGGAATAAAAATGACCTTTATTTAACCTTTATTAACTCGGTAGAAAGTTAACCTAAAATAACTTCAACATGTGTTTTAGATTGCATTAAAGCATGCACTGGTGCTTCATAGGAAGAGTTTTAACTGTCAACAAAAACACAAGTACATACAAAACAAATTCTTATATCTGACAACAACAACAACAACACTATATAATGTTATAATGTGTTATAAATTATTCATTAAGTTTTTATCTGCTACTTACAAATTGTACATTCTGAACACAGTACATCACAACAGACGGCAGCTGCACTGAATAAAAGTAACGTGTTCTATTTAGATCGAGGTGCCACCATGGCAACTGAATCACAATTGCCCTGATACTGCTCTCACAGCAAAAACAATCTGCAGTCTATTCTTGTCAGATTTAGGCAGCACATGTCTGTCTTTCTTAGTGTTATGTAAAATGATCCTCTTGGGCTAAATGCTGTGTATGAGACAAAGTAACACTGCAACAGGAATTAACACATAACCACGGACACATTTTGTCCTATACATTATAATCCCTTGTAACTAAACAGTGAATAGCTGCAGGTTCTCTGGTATTAATCCTGGCCCTCAGGTGTTGATCCTTTAGAGCGATATGTTCTGGTATCTTTTTATTAGGGTTATGGTCCCTGGTGGTTATGCGGGGTCAGGCTGGGTGTTAAGAGGTGTTTAAAGGGACAGTTCACCTCAAAACACAAATATACCTCCTTTCGTCTTAGCTAAAGTGCAGTTACTCAATATAGATTGTTTCGTTAGTTGTTTATTGTTGAAGATGTTGACAGGTCTGCCTTCTTTTGATAATAATGTAACTACAAGGCACTTGGCTGAGGATATTTCACAGACCTTGTTTCTGAGTAATCTCATGTAGGATCTTTTTACATTTCTACCAAAAAAGCGGCAAGCCACCCACAAACAATTGAGCACTAGTCCTCTTCTCTGAGTAAATGAATGTTTTCTCCCGCACCCTGATAGTAAAAAAGAGTTCCCACATGAAGAAGCTCACAACAAGGTCTGTAGATTATTTCAAGAAACAAGGCCATGATTTCTGAAAAGACAAATTGCTAATAAGACCTTCAAATTCAATTTATTTTGCGCTTTGAGCATTACAGGGATATTAAAGGGACACTCGCGCTAAAACTGTCTAGCTCAAAATAAGCACTACAGGTAAGAGGAAAAGTATATATGTGTTATATTGTTGGGAACTGTCCCTTTAAAGAGGCGGCCTCTAGACAAGAGGTTTAAGACTCTGATTGCATAATCACAACATCCCAGGTTGAAATGCAGCCTAAGCACTGTGTCTCTCTCTCTCTCCCCTCATTTTCTATTGAATTTCTGCTGTTAAAGTCAAGCTTAACATTTCCCCCAAAAAGTATGCAATTCAATGTTTTTAATAGGCTCCACGCTCTCCAAATATAATGTTTAAAATTATTGGACATAACTTAACTTATTTTTATAAATATTTTTTAGATACCAAAATGCAATTTAAACGGTTGAAACCAGAACTTTAGATATTATACATTTGGTAACTGCTGACCCCTAGTGACTGTTGACATATTAGTTTACAGTTGGCCTAAATCTACAGTGTTCATGCACAGAGAAGGAAGAAAAAAACATCTATTTCTGACATAATTCTGTAGAAGTTTAGGTAAACATTTTCAGCCCATGTTCTTCATTCGAATAGAAACTACAAACCACATTTGATAAGAGCGTCCTTCCTGTTCCTGTAATAAGATGGCAGCGTCTGATAAACCTGAAACTTGAACACTTGTTGAGATTGGATCACATCGAATCTTCTCTGTCTTCGTTCAAGGAAACTATTGAAACATCTTCAAAATGAAGTGTATTATTGTTGTTATTTACTCAATTGTTTTAAAAGCTTTTCTTCATGTGTTGTGGAGCTTCACCAGAGTGATCCACGTTCCTTTTTTCTGCTTTTGTTTGACTGCTGGACTCACGGTGGACAACTCCTCTTCCATCAGGATCCTGGACAAGCGTCAAGACTGCAATCAACTGGTGAGGATTCAATCTATTAAACTATAAGTACAATCAATCTCATAAAAGTCCACTTGTTGTTTTTAATTCATCAATTATGTTGTGTTTTTTTCCCAGGGTCTTAAGAACTGCCAAATTAGTAAGTATCCTATTCAGCAAATTAGTCGCAAAAAGTTCAAATGCTTGTGTACTGTATAGACATCAAGAATATGTTGAGTGGCATTATTTTGTGAAACAGTCTATATAATATATATTATATATATATACATTTGGTGTTATTATAAGCTTGGATGAATGATTTGTGCAGAAAAATGTTATTTTAATTAGACACTTAGGCATTTATGTGATTCACAAACAGTAAGTATATTCACAGCATTATAATTGACACACTGTTCCTTATATCTCAGAAAACTGCTCAGACGAGCTCATTGTCATACCTCGACAACATGCTCCTAACAGACCAGAAATGGGTTCCCATATTTTGGGTGTCTGGATGGACGAACGCGGACCTGTTTCTGTTGTGAATGTGTCATGGACAATAAAGTCAGATGGTAAGTAATGCTAAAATCTGTACTTAATGTTCAAAATACACTTTGTTTATTGTAGCTCACATGTAAAAATGCATCAAATACAAGTTGTGAACCAACCGGTATTTCTTTATAGGTGAAAATAATAATACAAATTAAATGTATAGTAAAATATACACTTTCTTCTATTCACAGGAAATGTAAAAGTCCTTCGGGGATCACAGATAGATTTTCTGGATGAAAGTACAAATCAAAGTTTGTGTGTGCGGTTTGTTTTCATCCTCAGCCAACAGCTAAATCCAAACCATAGTAAGGTGAGATTTGAACATACTTGCTTAATTATCTATGAGTATCAAAAGTAGTATGGATGTTACAGATATGTTTTTCTTTATTAGTGGAAATTTTCCTTGGATGGACTCGTGGTAGAGCCTCACCATTCGTACAGACTGTCAATTCTTAATCTGCCAGAGCCTGCAGATGACCCCGAGAGGCTTAGAATGAACATTAACATCCCAGGTGAGTGAGTGACTGAAAAAACATTTATGAGTTAGAAGTTTGTTTGTACAGCAGACTAAAATGTATTCTGTGTTTTGTGTAACTACATTGTGTGATCATAACAGAAAATATGGTGTGTATTATGACCCATGTTAAAAAAAAAAAGCAATGTAAAAAATATCCGCTCTTGAGTCAGACAGTAGTAACAACTTAATCCCTCCCAAATAAATATCCCTTTAATACATATAGTGACAATGGCTCTTGAATCAAATCGGTGTCTAATCTTCTTCATGTAACTTGTTCCCTCATGGCCAGGATGTGATGACACGAGAATCCAAGAGGCCAAAATGTGTCTGGAAAATGGTAACTGTAAATTAATTACATCTTACAGATTTTAAATGGACCACTGTTAACGATCCTGGACCATTTTAACATTATCCTCTGCATGTTTCGTTATTTCAGGTAGTCTTTGGAATCCTCACATTAATCATTCGGTGGATCTTACTAAAGGAAAGTTTTCCATCGATGTGCATTTTGAAGCAGCACAATATTCAGAGAGATACCAAGTGTCCATCCACAGTAAAGGTTTCAATTCCTCAAAGAGTGTCTCAAAGGTGATTACACTGAATTTCTATCTTATATTACCAATGATGACAAAAATGACTATAACTATGATCCTGATGTACTCCTTGTTTTGGAAACATTATATCATTATGGTTTTCTCTATCTACAGGAAAACAAAACATCGCTGACTGTGACATTTGAGTTTGGGTGGGGGCAGCTTCCACAGTGTAAAATGGAGTTATTGGTAAGTTTCATTTAAATGTAAGGTCCCATCCATACCAGTTAATAAAGTAATCTTATATGAATTCATACAACATTATAAGCTAAACTGACTCTGCTTATTTTTAAGATTCAGCCGTTTTTTGTTGGATGCAAGAATGACTGTTGGCGTCCCAAGAAAGATATAGATTTATGCCAGTGTAAGTAGGATAAGTAAACTATATTTACCACTCAGTGGTTCCTAACCGTATTGGCTTGAGATCTCTAACACTAAAGCAGCGATTACTTGCTTCCCCTTGTTGAAGGTCTATCAGCTTTTAGACCTTTACATTTATCAGATTGTCAAAGAATAGATAAAATACAAAAGAAACTATACTTATTAATTCCTATCCCTTTAATCATCCTGAAAGCCACTCAGATGTCACACAGGAGGTTTGATTAATCTAATCACATTTGTTTGTTTTTCTTTAGATTATCCACCCCGGACTTTAATTATAAAGGCATGCTTGGCACTGCTTGTCTTTGGTGGTTTTCTTGCCTTTGTACTGTGGAGAGCTTTCCAGAAAGGTTTGCTTCTTACAAATGCACAGTAATGAATAGAAAACGCATCTTGAATTGATAATTAACCAACAGATTTCCCCCTTTTCTCAGATCCTGTGAACTCATCTTTATCTGCTGCCAAACAACAACCAGAAGGTTTTCAAGTTCGAGAGAGAAGAAGACTCCTCGTCATTTACTCCCTGGACCACCCTTTATACAAAAACATTGTCCTCAAGCTTAGTGCATTTCTGGCAACCAAATGTGGTACTGAAGTGTTCTTGGATCTGCTGGACTCCACAAGGCTGGGAGTGTTGGGAAGCATTCAGTGGCTGGACTGGCACAGGGAACAAATTGAAAACTCTAAAGATAAGATACTAATCCTGTGCTCAAGAGGAGTTAAAGCCAAATGGAAAGCCATGTGTGGAGACAAACAGGTATTTCTGAGAGAGGACGCCCGCTCAGTTATGGGTGACATGCTCAGTCCAGCCCTCAGCCTCCTGGTACCCCATTTTATCAGATCTGCGTCATTTGAAAAATACATAGTGGCTTACTTTGATGATGTTTGTTCTGAAGATGATGTTCCTTCACCTTTCAACATTACATTGAGATACAAGCTGATGAAACAGTTTGAGGAGCTCTTTTTCAGGATCCTGGACACTGAGATGCACGAGCCCGGCATAGTGAATCACATTGATGGGCTTTCAGAGGAAAAGTACCACCAGTGTGCCTCCGGTAGAGCCCTGAGGGACGCCATAGAGGCTTTTCATGCATACCAGCTGGAGCATCCCCAGTGGTTTGAAGAGGAATTACTGGAGAGCTCAAAGACCTCATCTGAAATCTGTGATGATGCAAAATCAACCATAAACCTCATGACATATCGTGAACCTGACTCAGCTCAAGTCACCAGTCATTTAAATACACAAGAAACTGATTTCACTGTCAACACATCGGGACTTTACGTGGCTGAAGAGCTTCAAATGTGCACTTCTGTGGAGTTTAACCAACTTATATCTGAGAACATGCAGCATGTTTGATTAAATTGTGGCAATGTTTTGGGACGATCTTCTCCACTGTTGGTGGAAACTTTGAAACATTCATCATGGGCAACACATTTTTTGTCTCTGGAAATGGCCTTTGTGGAGTCCTGCAATTTCTGAGTGACTTTCTAGTTTTACCAAGTTTATGCTTCCCTTCATATCAGTGCTGCAGTTATTTTTTTGTATGCTGCATTAATGTTAATATAACTTGCTTTCACTCAGGAGACAGATCCAAAGTAGCTATAGCACAGAGATCTGCGGTTGATGCTTTTGGTCTGTGTCAACAACGTTTTGGTCAAAGTTCAGCCTACTGGGCAAAGTTTCTATCATTTCTGTTACACTGAAGAAGGTAAGACTAGTCTTGATTTGTGACACTGTTTTGTATTATAATTAACTGATTTAATCTAATGTGCTATGGACTTTTTTATACTGTAAAGCATGGACATGTGTATTGTATTATCACAGGTAAAAGGTGTCCCTGCTGCATTAAAGCATGTGACCAGAAATAAGTAAATGTTGATACTCCTTTGTATGATGTACATCTGATCTGTTCATTATAATTCCAAGTGTTTGTTGGTGTGTTTCTGATCCTCTCAGTGTTGTTGATGAGATATTAAAGACTGTTACATTTTAAATCTGGCACAAATCAGATGTAAAGTATTTACTCAGTACATTTCAGCCAACTCACACCAAGTGCATACATGCAGTGGTAGAAAGAGATAGCAAACAGACCCTAACTCTAGAAGTGGGTTTCTGAGAGTGGCCCCAAAAAAGGGGGAAGGTTGTGGGAATTTGTCCCAACTAACTGGAGCAAAGAAATCCTCACAATGGCTGAGTTGGACTTCTGCCTTGCAGTGACAGAGAACACACTGCAGGGTGTGATGCAACTGGATTACATTTTTCTTTCAAGAAGCTGAGGTAATGATGTACATAGGTTTTATTTTGGCAAGCACATTGTTTGATACTTGCAGTTCTTTGTTTGAATTGGTTTATACGTTATATTAGATAGACATGCTGTTTATTATGAATTGTTTTAATCAAAGAAAGGAGTCTAAATAAGTCAAACTTATGGGAAATATATATAATGAAATCGTTTTTTAATGCGTTAATGTTTGCGATTCATTCTGAAGCTCTGATTGACGTTATCTTTCCAATATTGTCCGATGCTAAGTTTTAAAGTGGACCTATCATGCTATATTTGAATAATATAGTGTAGGACCATACCTATATAAGGCATATTTATACTTTTTTTTTTTCAAAATACCAAACAGATCATGCATTTTAGCCATGCCTCATTTTGCTCAATTTGACCATTTCTAGCTCTGTTTTTGCAAGGGCAGATTCAGTGAGAACAGCACCACCTACAGGCCTGGCATATGTACTACAGCGTCTCCAGCGCTTTCGAACGGCAATGGCCGTGGCTGTCTCCTCCTGATTGGTGGAGTTGGCCCAATAGCCGTAGCGTCACTGTCCTGACGTCAGGACAGTGTTCAAATCTGGATCAGTTTTTATCAGATCCGTTGCAGCCCCTTTTTTTAGAGATTTGGGTATGGAGGAAAATAGAGAGGGTTGTGTTTTCTGACACTTGGTGAGTTCCCTGGAACACCGGGGACACATATTCATGTATAAAAGACGTACAAAAGTGCATTTTGCATGATAGGTCCCCTTTAATGTATGTTGGAAAGAAGACATTTGGATTACAGCAAAAGTAAGAACATTTTCCATTCTGTTGAATTCTGACTCTCAAACTGAAATGACCTCCGAGTGCCCAAAGAGAGGAGGCGCTAAGATGAGGCTTAGCCTTTGGAACATCAGTCTGAAACGTTCAGCTGACAGTTTCTTTTTCTAAAAACGTCCTGTTTTCAAGGTTTCTCTCAAAATCTGAACAGAATGAGGATGCTGAAGAGAGCTTCTGCACTCCTCCTGAGAAGAGGAATCACAACTTATCAAAGCAGATTGTGCAGAAATGGTAAATGCATCCTTTAATCATATCTATATTAAAAACTGTATAACGTATAAAAGAGGGATGATAATAATGATAATTTAATTGCACATCTTCTCTTAGACAGCCTCTTCAGAGTTCATTCATCTGTGTCTGAGGCGCTGGCAGAAAACAAGCCAGTGGTTGCTCTGGAGAGTACTATTATCACACATGGCATGCCCTATCCACACAACCTGAGGTACCCTGTTTAAAGAGTCAGTCAACTCTGATAGCAGCAGCTAAAAGTTGCATAAATCATTGAAAATGAGTGCTACCAATGTTTTAATGCAGCACAGCGAAGGAGGTGGAGGACATTGTGCGATCTGAAGGAGCCACTCCAGCCACGGTTGGAGTGATCGATGGTGTCGTCCATGTTGGTTTGTCGTCAGAGGAGCTCGACCACCTGGCCCGCTGCAAGAGCTCCATGAAGGTGTCCCGCCGTGATCTGCCCTACGTCGTCAGCAAAGTGAGACCACAACACAATCACTTATTTAAAAAAAGAATCACATTCTAAAACCTGAAAGCCGACCTGGTCGCATCAACTTATTCTAGTTTAATCTATTTACTTGTACACTAATATAACATAAACACATCATATGGAAAGTAATGCAACTGCAGGAGAGGAAAAACAATACTAAAATACTTATTCAGAGTTCTCGCCTATCTATACAAATAATAAATAACATTATTATTAGCATTAGACGGGGGGGAAAAAAGCAAACAGTAGGAAAAGACAGAAAAAAAACAACAAAACAGACCTAAAATAAGTATATATGTACAACCAACAAAACTATCTTGCAAAAAATGTCATGAAGAAATTAGAAATATCTTAAATTGAGTCCTAAAAGCTGACAAGGAAGTTAACAATTTCAGTGTCATATTCTGTGAACTTTGAATATCTTTTCACTATTGCTGTCCTGTGTGATATGTTCTCAGGGGCTCTCTGGGGGAACAACAGTGTCGGCCACGATGATAGCTGCACATCGAGCTGGCATCCCTGTGTTTGTCACAGGGGGCATAGGAGGAGTTCACAGAGACGGAGAGAACAGTAAGCAGGTTTATAAGTACTAAAATAAAAAGTGAAAACAGACTCACTGACTGGATTTTTTGGCATCTTTTCACATAGAGATTCAACAATGTGTCATAAGGTGCTATTTTATGTTAAACTGGATTTATTTATAACGACGATGAACAATTATGAGTTAACATTATTCTTTGGAGGTCAAATAAATGCCTTGTGATGGGATAGTTCACCCTGAGTTAGGTCTCCATGAGCACCCCAATAGACACCACAACTTTCAGAACATTACTGTAAATTCGTCTGTTTGTACATAATAAGATAGTATAATTTTACTTTTTATGTGAAGACTTACCATTGGTCATGATTATTCCTCCAGGTCTGGACATCAGTGCAGATCTGACAGAGCTCGGCAGGACTCCCATTGCAGTCGTCTCTGCTGGTGTCAAATCTATTCTGGACATCGGTCGCACCCTGGAGTACCTTGTGAGATATGAGATAAACAAATATATAAAATCAATTAAATATAAGAAAGATATTGGGCTGTATTATATTCCTGTTATTGTATCTTTTTTCAGGAGACACAGGGTGTCTGTGTAGCCACCTATGGAGCGTCTAAGAACTTCCCAGCCTTCTTCTCTCCACAAAGCGGATTCACTTCTCCTTTCCATGTCTTCAACCCTGAGGAGGCTGCCAAACTTATTGGTATACTATGAATTAATATCCTTAAAGCACAGATTCAATGTCTACTATTTATTTTAAACTATTGTGAATTTGTTTTTTGTGTCGTTCAGCGAGCACTCTGTCACTGGGTCTCCAAAGTGGCGTCCTGTTAGCCGTGCCCATCCCAGAGGAGCATGCAGCCGCCGGCCAGCTGATAGAGGAGGCCGTACAGGCTGCAGTCACAGAGGCAAGGTACAGAGAGTCGCTGTGGCTTATAATCTGTTGAACTTTTGTTTAATCAACACTTCAAAACGAGTTCAGAAACGTAACGTTCTGTCTGGATCTCTGGACTTTCTGTATTTGTTTTGTTTTTCAGTGTTAAAGGTATAACAGGAAGAGATGTGACGCCGTTTATTCTTCAAAAGGTCAACGAGCTGACTGAAGGAAAGTCCCTTCAGGCCAGTATCCTTCTGAAAATCTGAATTATTCAGACCTCAAGCAGAGACCAGGATCATATCAAATCATTTTGAAAGGAAAAGGCACAGTGAAGTCTGATAACGTTTTTTCTCGAAGGCCAGACAATGTTTCCATGCTCTATAAACACGTAAAAAATCCTTAACTTGTTTTGCTCTCAGACATTGCTCTCATTCATAACAATGCTAAAGTTGGCAGTCAGATAGCCTGCGCACTGTCGCGACAAATGACTGAGAGAAAGTGCAGAGGAAACACCAATCGTCATGGAAAACACTCAGACTCAGATATAGTGAGTATAAAAAATGTACAATGGAAGATTTAGTCAAATACTGTCACACTACAGTACCCACAGTGCTGTTCTCTTACAGGTTGTCATTGGAGGAATAAATGTTGATTTTATTGCAAAAGGAAAAGCAGAAACACTTATTGTAAGTTACATTAATTCAATCTACTGCAGATCATGTAAAGCCAGATTACTGTAGGTTACTTCTGAGAAATAATGTGTTATCTCTTTCAGTTCGGACAGACAAACCCAGGGAGTGTGTGTCAATCATTTGGTGGTGTAGGACGGAACATCGCTGGTGTGTTTTTATCTGATTATGTACATGCACATTCATTTCATTTCATACGCACTGTGAAACCGATTGTCCCACTCATTTTCCTTCCAGACTCTCTGAGTCGATTAGGCCGCAGCCCTCTGTTTATCTCAGCTACTGGAGCTGATTCACACAGCGAGGCAGTGCTACACTATTGTAAACATATGGTATGTAAACATCAACAGTTGTTTATCACCAAGCAAATTATATTAAAGACTGAAACTTGAAATACTGATTTTGAAAGCCAGTTAAAGGATTTGGTTGTGAATTTTGTTTACATTATCTGCCTTTTTCATTTCCTTGTAATACATACACCAAGGATATTTCAAAAAGCACTCAGACTGTACTCAGGTCTCACTTGAAATGAAATGTCAAAGTGACTTGCTGATTAAATACAATATATAATTTGTTTTGCTTATACTGTATATGTTAACCTGACTTTTGGTCCTTATCTCTGTAAGAACACAAGTGGTGTGGCCAGGTTAGAAGAGCAGAGCACGGCTACGTACTGTGCTGTCATCACTGCTAGTGGAGAACTGAGTCTCGGATTGGGAGACATGGACATTCATCAACAGATCACAGCGCAGTATGTAAGTATAACAAGCCTCTATTTTAGCAAGGCTACAGACAAGGATTTGTGATCAAATACCATATAAATGCAGGTAATTCTCTCCAATTCGCTCCAACACTGTCCAACATACAGTAATTTTCCAGTTTCCAGTTCTGAATGTGTATATTTATTGGGTTTTTTTACACTTCCAAAGATTTTGAACTGATTATTTTTAGGGTTGCACAACAAAATAAGATAAAACAAATTGCAATCCAAGTTTGTTTTATATATATCTATATTATTTTTTTGACGCACCTCTTGTTCTGAAATGTGCTATGGAAATGAAGTTTATTGACTTAATATCTGTTTGTAGGTGTCACAGTTTGAGAAGCAGCTTTCATCAGCCACCCTCGTGTGTCTGGATGGAAACATCCCTGTCTCCACCATCGACTATGTTTGCTCCATTGCCAAAAAACACAATATCAATGGTAAGCATGGAGAGATGTTCACTATGAATGATCATGGTCAGAAGCTTTCATTGACTCTAATACAACACAACCAATGTGTGTCACAGTTTGGTATGAGCCGACAGATTCAGATAAAGCCTGTAAGCCTTTCCTGTCCGACGCCTGGAAGTCTCTTTCCTATTCATCCCCAAACCTGGCCGAGCTGCGCACCATGAACAAAACTCTGGGCCTCCCCACACCTGAAGGTAAAGTGTATTTATTGAATATGTCATGGTTTAACCCTTAATGTACTTCTTTATCCTGGCAAACACATAACCCAACATACCTTGGCCAGACTCAGGGACAGTTTTATCACACAGGCCATAAGACTTCTAAACTCCTGAGCCTGCACTATTTTCATGGTTTTTTAATGTGTTTTTTAAGGTCACCTATTATGCAAAGTCCACTTTTTCATGTATTTTATACATAAAGATGTGTCCCCTCTGTGTAGAGAGATTCTGAAAGTTTCAGGAAAAAAGATTCGCTCACTTTTTGTCCTGATCCATTTATATAAAAGCCTGTCTGAAAATGAGCTGATCAGATTTTGGCCACAGGATGTCAATAACCAACCATGGTAACCCCCCCCCCCCACCTTATCACCTGAATCTCCTCCGAGAGCACCATTGTGTTCTTTTTAACCAAATATCTCACCAAACACTTCAGAGACATGTTTTGTATATCTCTGAGACCTATAATATATTGATGAAAAACAGTATAATCGGGGATCTTTAAAGCCCTTTGAACCTTTCAACAGTGTGTGAAGTTAGTGTTCTTGTGAAGTAGTGTCATTGAGGATGTGGTTTTATTTTGTCTTGTGGGTTGAAGTGTTGCCTAGCTCTGTGGAGGAGGTGCTGAGTGTTGCTATGGCTCTCTCACGCCCCCTCCTGGACCATCTCCACTGTCTGGTGGTGACTCTGGGGGAGAGTGGGGTGCTGGTGTGTGGAGAGCATGAAGCAGGCTCTGTCAACCTGCAGCCAAGGAAACATAAAAAGGTAATGGCAACGTATATTCAACCCTTAACTTTGGCTTTTTTTGTTAATGTACATACATTTGTAAGCTGTTTTTTTTCCTGAATTTTAGAAGATCAACTCAAAAATTAAGCTGTGTAACCAAAATACAGTCACTAAGGGCCTTTAAGGACAAAGCCCCCATAGAACCCCATTTTAACCACAATTTGTGATTCTACTACCATTACAGCATATAATCATGCGTTTTATAACATTGGGCTTTCAATCTAGGTCCATGGCTTCAACATGGTAGTTTAGAACAAAATGTGTGTTATTTTCCTCAAAATAATAGTTAAAATGCAGCCAAATCAAAGCTGTTGCTAATCAAACACTAATTGCATACTGACGTGAAAAATAAAAAAAGTGGAAAAAAAATGTAATATATGATTTTTATGAGAATTTCTTGACATGGACATTGCTGTTCTCTAACAAAATCAGAGGAACTTTTGTTACAGTAGGTGAAGCATTAGCTTTAAACTGGTGATAATTACGTTGAGGATGATGATAATTCAGATGATGATGATGACAACAGTGAAAGTGACAGTTTACTGAACTATACGTTTGCAGAAGAGGAAGCTCTGTGCTGTCCACTACCCGGCACTGACTGTGACGGCAGACGAGACCATGAATGTGTCAGGAGCAGGAGACAGGTGCTGAACATTTAGTTGACCTACTTTCTCGTACCCGTTCTTTTTAAAATGTCCAACTTTCTTTCTTCTTGAGTTTCATCCACTTATTTCTTATGAACTTTTTCTCTCACTTACAAAATGATTGTAACTCAACAACATTCAAAACAAAACAACACTTATCCCTTCCCTGTCTGCAGTCTCGCAGGTGCTTTGATGGCTGGGATCCTCCATCAGCGAGACACAGACAGCTGTGTTCGGATGGGGCTCCTGGCTGCTCGTCTCTCTCTGGCGTCACCACATCCTATCGCCCCAACGCTCACCTTCGACTCTGTGGATCCCAACAAAGTCAAGACTCAAGAATGGCCAAAACCCAGCTTCATGTGGATTGATTAAAAATGTTAAACACCATTTTAAAACCTAACTGGGGAAAAGTAGAAAAGTGGGTCTAATATGCATTAGTTTTTCAAATATTTTTGTCAGTTTGATAATTTTAGGCCTTTTAGTGTGTGATTGGATTGTGAAGCGTGATGTATAAAGATTCTACATTAAACCATTTAATACACATTTTATATGATATTTGATATTGGTCTAAAGACAAATAACTTAAACACTCTTTATTGATTACAAATCCTTGTGAATAAATTATAAAATGGTATAAGGTAGCCTGATGTGGTGGTTTATTTCTTAAAATAAATAAAGATACATATTTAACAGGAAAGATAGAGAAAATACTATAGTCATTTTCTTGTGTTTTTCCTGTTTTCTTGTTGTGTAATTTATTAACTTAACTAAAATCATTAGTCCAATGTTTTCTGTCAAAAAAACGTACCTATTATCAAAAGAAAAAGAATGGACACCCTTCAAAAAAGGAAGAAAAACAAGAAAAAAATGTATTAGCATAATTCATTGACAAAAAAAAGTAACAGTAGCCTACTAATAAAACCATAATAATATTACAAGTAAAACTTTACCTGCAAATGTTCTTTCCTACATATTAAAGAAAAACACAATACTTCAGTTCTTATCCATAACCAGCATCACACTCCCTTTATCTATCTGGAATATTATTTTTAAATGCACCCTCCAGTCCCACCCTGGCCCCACTTTAGCCGAAAACGTCATTTCCCACAAAGCATCTGTCCTTCTGCGCAGACTCAGTTGCTATGAACACTTGCCCCACTCCCTCCTCCCTACTTTAATGCTAGCTAAGATGGTGGTTTGAGCGTAAATTGTCTCCACTATACCAAGAAAAGAAAGGGGCGAAACATCTCTATAGCCTTTTAATCACAACAGAACAACATAACTACGGTTATCTTAAGTGACCGGTTATAGGAATTTTGACATTTCAGACACATTGGCTAGCAGTCCCCGCCCAATTTGGTTTGACTCCCTTTGGAGAGGAATCCTAAGCTAAATACGGACAGGGTAAGTAACGCTAGCCGAGATGCTAGTTGGGCTAGCCAGCTTCCATCCTGCCATAATAAATAAAGGACAGTTGTGTGTATGTCACTATTTTACACACGGATACTGGAGTATTCTCTGCCCAGTGTCCAGGTAATCTGAATGTCGTGAGAGCCATGTCAGTTGTTTATAGTGCCAACAACTTGTTCCCAGGTTAGCATTAGCTTTTGTAGGCCTCGTCGTAAACTCTGATGAGAATGTAGCATGCTAGCTATGCCGATGCTAGCGGTTAGCTTTAAGCAAGCTGTCAGTTAATATGTGAGAGAAGGCGTATCGTTGTGGCAGAGGTATTTTAAAATGTCAGTATGGAGTAAATAATGACCTCTGTGTTTTGGTTTTGTGATTAAACTCACAACTGCTCCTAAATACTTGCTATTAGTTAGACCGGCTTCTTTCACCAATTCGCGGCTAATGTTAGCTTAGCCTAATGTTAGTCAAATAACATCTGTCATAATGTACGATCCAGTAGAGAGAGAAGCTAAAGTTACCCGCTAGGTACTCAGGCTTCATACACGACTTTACCAATCAGCTGGTTTCTGTTAGGGAAGCAGGAGAACTGTGACACTCCTGTACGTGTTCATGTGTCAGAGAAATGTTGGCACATATTTGAAAATGTTGGCATTTCCCTGTTATCGTTTAACTCAGCTGTACACTGTCAGGTTTGATCAATCTGGGTTTATCATGAGCTGGCCTAGTGGCTGCAGTGTTGTCGTGTTGAAACCGGTGTGTAAATGCTAAAAGAACAAGGTCTCAACTGTAAAATAAATGCAGTTGTTTCCCTTTTAACGTGTATCATGACGATGTGTCATATACTGTCAACCCTTGGAAGATGCCACAACATCCGCATTATCCCTTAAACATGATGACAGCTGTTTTGACTTGTTTTCTAAGATATACAGGCTGTGGTCTTTTATTAGGGTAGTCTGCATTACACGTATACAGTATGTCACAAAGCCCTGTAATGATTAAACCTTTGTGGAGGTTAACATTTTCAGGATATGTTTGAAATGTTTCAAATTAATGTTTATTTAACTCAAATTCTAGAGGCTGTTGCTTTGCAACCTATCAGAGCCCAAGTCTATTTTCTAAATTTCTTATTTTGTTTGATAAGTCGATTTTCAGAATACTTTTAATGTCAGGCTTGACTAATTGTTTCAGCTGAAATCTACTGAGAGCCATTTCCAATATTTGTGCTACACTCTGTGGTAGAAATGAATGAGACGAAACATTAGAAACACAATGCAGTTAACCGCCAGTACAATGTTTGTTGTAGTTTGTCGAACCACAGCCTATAAATCAACCATGCAGTTGAATCAACTCATCTCTTCAAAGTTTCATCAAAATTGTGTCAGTAGATTAACTAGTTGATTGTGGTGTTTCCTTTGCTGATAAAAAGTTAAATGCATTTTGGTGTGCTCTGTCTGATATTGTGACCTTGGTGGTCAAATCGTCGGTTTCAGAGGCTTTACTATCCAGCCATGTGTCAGGACGACAAGTTCAGCTGATATTATGTTGAATCGTGTCATGATGGAGCTTTTAAACTTTGTTTGTTTTTTCAGCCTTGTGCTCTGTGACCAGCTTTGACGCTCACCATCGCCGTGCCATAGGATGTCCCACAGCCCTGAGATGAAGGACGACCTCATGGAGTGCCCTCTGTGTATGGAGCCGCTGGAGATTGATGACGTCAACTTCTTCCCCTGCACCTGCGGCTATCAGATCTGCCGCTTCTGTTGGCATCGCATTCGCACAGACGAGAACGGCCTCTGCCCCGCCTGCAGAAAGGTGAGGAGATGATGAGATGGATATGAAGTCAGAGGAACTCATCACGACTGACAGGGGATTTTTCTTTAGTGACAACAGAAGGGATGATGATGCCAAGTGTCCACATATTAATCTGGGGGAAAGATACACTTTGGTTTTGCCCTCTAAAGCAGCCTGTTAGTTCAAACATTAGCTCATAGTCATTTACAGTTTACAGCCTCGACAGATTTGATTTTAATTGCACACGAATAAGACAGAATAAAATAAAGAAATATGTCTGGAGCGGTCAAGAAGCCATTGACTTAAAAAACAGACCTCCCTTCCACGTTAGGATAAAAAAACTAACAAGAAAAGGAAAATCAAAATGTAATCATCATTTTGATAATATTCTGCAAGACAACATGAAGCACAAAAACTAACCAATTATATAAAAACAAATAAATAGTTTTTAAATAATACTAAAGAAAATAAAACATACTGTTTATACATATCAAAAATGTGAATAAATCACTATACTAATAAATCATTTACTGACATGATGTTCAGCTTGGCTAGTAATGCCTGTTGGACTACTATGTTGACAACCAAAGGCCTCAGTTACTCACTAACCTTTACGAAACAACTCGAATAGTATAATTGTTTCATATGTTTGATATCTCTAACATATTTCTCCTCTTTTGTGTAGCCTTATCCAGAGGACCCCGCTGTGTACAAGCCCCTGTCACAGGAGGAGATCCAAAGGATAAAGAACGAAAAGAAGCAGAAACAGAGCGAGAAGAAGCAGAAGGTGACAGAAAACCGAAAGCACCTGGCCAGTGTCCGAGTGGTGCAGAGAAACCTGGTGTTCGTGGTCGGGCTCTCGCAGCGACTCGCCGACCCAGAGGTGAGTTCAGGGGCTCCAGAAGCTCAGTGGTTTATGCTAGATGTGACTTAATAGTGTTGAAACTGTTTTAGCTTGATGTGAATACGGCTGTGACAAACTGAAGTAAACAGCTGCTAGATTTATTTTGGATTATTCGGACAAAGTCATTCTCATAAATACATTAGAATTGGTATCTTTAATGCATATTTTAAAGGCCTTTCAGTGACAAGCTCCCTCTGAAGCCTTACGTTTCATTATTTGATGTAATTGTTTTTAAGAGTTCACACTGCACCAGAAACTTTGTGATAAGTGATATATATTTTTTTTTTTCATTGTGCTCACAGGTCCTAAAACGACCAGAGTATTTTGGGAGGTTTGGGAAAATCCATAAAGTGGTCATCAACAATAGCACATCATATGCAGGGTCACAGGTAAGAGGTTCAATGCCATCTACAATATGTATCCAAAATGTCTGTTTCTGAATAGGACCAGCACATAATCAATTAAATGTTTCTCTTTTAACAGACACATGTTAACCCCTTTGTTGTAAACACATTATTTCTGTCTTTTTAGTCATTTTAATTGCATATTATGTCGTTTTTCCCCCTTTTTTCTTTAGCATATATTTTCTTACCTGTCATTATTGCAATGTGAGGAATCAATGTTAGAAATTCGTATTCATCGCTTTCCTGGAATACCTCTGTAAACAGAGTTATTCCGCTTCAACGGATGTGTTTGCCTTGTATGTTTACTTACATTTTCTGTTTTTACAGGGGCCGAGTGCCAGCGCTTATGTCACTTACATCCGCTCTGAAGACGCGTTAAGAGCAATACAGTGTGTAAACAACGTGGTCGTTGATGGGAGAACACTCAAGGTGAGACGTTAAAAACTGCTTTTCTCATATGTGACTATGATAAGAAGTTTTATTTGTAAAAGCCATGTGATAACTTTATTCTATATTTATTTCTCTGTAAAATGTAAACATCCTTTAACCCTTATCTTGTGTTCGGGTGACCCGTTTCAAGTTTAAATTCTATAATAACTACGCTCTAGTTTTTTGTATCGGAACAAGGCTTCATGATATCCTCCACAACAGCTATATTAACACTACAAAACTGATTTTGACAATTTTTGCCAAGTCTGAAAGTCTCTAAAAAAAAAAAGTGTATCATTTGGTGTTGGGGTCTGGGGAGACCCAGCAGCATTGTTTTGGGTGACTCGAGGTCAAATTTGGCCCAATCAAGATTCACCTTTGACTTTAGACACCCCTCCCCCACCCCCTTCATCCACTGTAACAATACTTTTTCGCAACATGCACCTGGTCTCCCATCCCTCTGCCCCCCTCCCCCCATGGGAACTCGACCTTTCTCAAAGAATATGCACACTAACACTTGAACCTGAACTCACACATGCACGTGTGCAATATGTGGTGTAATGTGTTTTGGGCCATAACATTAAATTACAACAGGATTGTACGGTTA